GGGGAAAAAGGGGAGGAGGAGAATGGTACAGGCTTGCTGGAAGCTTGAAAAACAGAATGTAGGAGCAAAAATCTCTGCCATGCAATGGTTGTTATTAACATACTGGGAATCCCCACTGTGCCTCCTGGGAGATGGGCCAACTGAAAGTGTATGTGGCTAGTGAGATTACCTGCCCTGCCATATGTGCAGCCTTGGGCAGGTTGCATGATCTCAGAACATTACCAGCAGAAATGACTGGCTAACCACTTCTGAGTACATTATACCAAGAAATCTTGGAATGGTTATTTAATTTTATATTGGAAGCCGCCTAGAGTGGTCCATCGGTCCAGATAGGCGGGGTATAAATCAAATAAATAAATAAATAAAGACAAAATTGGCTTGATGGCCCATCATTATTATTGAGAGTAAGCACCTGCAGAATGAACACAAAGGATTTTTTCCTTATGTATTGTCCCCATAAACAAGTGCACTTATTCAGAAGGAATTACTCTGGCTATTAAGATCTGCACTGATTGATGTGGGAGTAATTTTACAATGAGACCAGACTGTAGACTTAAAATTATAACCTATTTGTACTTGGGTTCTGAAACTCTTTTCTAGTTGTCAGGTATGTACTGCATTCCTGTAGATTGTAGATGTCCTTAATACTTTATTTTGGTTTTAATTTTATCTATATATTTCACAATGAACATTCTTTAAATTAATGTAACAAGATTTTTCTATGAGACACATCCCATCAGAAAAAGGTTTTTAAAATGATTAATGGAAGCTTGCAGAATCAAATGTATTTTTTAAATAATTACCCATACACACAATTCATTTACCTTTTGAGATAGTGCAAAAGTGGGCTTCATTCCAACACGGATTGTGTTGGATAGATATTTGAACTCATTCTTCTCAAATGATATCTCAATACGTTCCTGTGATATATACACAGACCAACAGTAGACATAAGGACAAACAATGTTCCTACAATAGTTCCTGCAATGATACCACTCTTATCTTGCAAAGCTGGTCCACTGTCAATGCTGCCACCATAACCTTTCCCTAGACAGTCAGGAGGAGCCCAGCCATAATCACAATGACAATGTTTGGCGCTGTTGCATATTCCATGATTGTGGCACTTTTTAACATCACAGTCATAATTCAAGATGGATATATTCTTGCATTGCCCACCAAGACATAGCATGCCAATGCCACAATGGGTGCCATCTTTCACTGCTCCAATATCAGCTGTGTCCATTCCAAGGTGGTAGTCTGTACCCCAACAACGACTTCTGCCAAGGAATGTTTGAATTATGGTACTGTCTTCCTCTAGGGAAGGCAATTTCTTGACATTATCACACTGAATGCGTCCACACAGAATATTCTCAGCCTTACATCTGCTATAAACCCCATTTATAAGTCCACAATTGCCAAAGCGGTCACCCCGAGCATTCAGTACTCTAAAGCAATTCTCTGTAGCAACCGTTGCTTTCTTGCCAAAGATCACTTTGCACTGTTCATTGTGAGTTGTACAATCCCCATGATAACAATGTGCACCATCTTTGCATGGGGCACCATCCTGTACATAAAAATCATCAGGGCACCATTCTGAAGTCCCATTGCAGTACTCAGGAAGATCACAGACACTTGTCTTCTCTCTGCAGACAGTTCCAGCAGGAAGATACTGACATTTGGCACAGCACATCCCTATATTACAAGTAGAACCTGAGCGCAATTTACAATCAGATTGGCAACATGAATCCAACTCACATTGAGCTTTGGAACCACAATCACATTGCTCTCCCTTTTCCACTATTTTATTGCCACAGTATTCAAGTTTAAATGTAGTGTCAGGATGTGCAGCTTTTAACAAGCAATGGGAATTCCTTAGTTTGAAATAAGAATTATAGCTGCAATTGCTAAACTTGTCAACATTTTCAGGGACTGCAGACATAATGCAGGATTTTTGCCCACAGCTACAGTATTTTCCATCATGGTTCATGCCAAGATTGTGTCCTAGTTCATGTGCAAATAGAACAGAAAAAAAGGGCACACTGAAACCCACATAAGCTTCAACAGCAGATGCCCAGTAGTAGCTACAAATGGTTCCTGTGAATGCTAATCCAGCTGAATGTCCATAAAGTTTATGTACAAATAGATGAGCAGCATCGTTTGGTAGATGTTTATTTAGTGTGTTTGTTCTCCAACTGTTGAAATTATTTAGCAGCACATTTATCTCATCAGCAATCACTATGAGGTTACTTTCTGTCCATATCTCCAGTCCAGCTACAGACAAAACAACACCAAGAGGTTCATAGAATGTATTCGCATTATGGACAATCTCTAGAATATGTATACCAGTTAAAGTTTCATTTCTGCCAAACTTTTTAAAACGTTTGTGTTCAACCACAATTGCTATATCTGCATACCTGGTGTGTGTCCACCAGTCTTCTTTAGAACCTCTGGATTCTAACATCTCTCTGTTTGGGATCATGGCTCCTTGATGACTTTGCTCTTCCTCTGTTAGTGCACATCTCATGGGGACAGCATCCTCTTTTTCTTCCAACCGATACACCACATGTTGGAAGGTAATAGATGATGGGACAGGCTCAATTTCATAGGTTTCATTTCCTAATTGCAGCAGACCACTGAGTCCCTCTGAGCAAGTGCTGAGGGTGACCAGCGAGTGAGGGTTGTCTTGTACAAAACCACTGTAGAAACAGTCATTCCTGATGAATGGATAATCTACGTGGAGCTCCCCATTCTTAGTATACGTGAAGAAAGGGAAATGTTTAGAGACAAAGTCTCTCTTCTGCCTGAGGTGCACAATATGACCCACCCCTTTAATCTGCAACAGGTAACTGATACGTTGAGGGTCTTCTTGTCCATATCTTGTTGTTAGTTTTTGGGGGATGGTCACTTCATAAGAGCCGTATCTAAAACCTAGCGGCAATTTCTGACCGGCAGTTTCAATGAGTATACTCCACAATATCAACAATTCTAGCTGTGCAAAATTCCCAGCCATTTTCTCTGTCAGGGAGAAGAATCCTCCAGGTCACTCTGCTTTGGCTTTGAGCTCTATACAGGCCGGAAACAAAATGGGGGAAGGGTCAGGAGATGCCATATTAGAATGGGAAAAGTTCTGTCTGTATCAACTGTCAGTTGGGTTTCCTTTGGAATGGGGGCGGGGCTTGTGAGTGAGGGATGGAACAGAAAGGAGGGGAAATGGCGAAGGAAGGGCAGGGAAGGAAAAAGCGAGTCAGGGTGGGCAGGTAGGCAGAAAAAAAACTTCACGCCTTTACAAGAAGAAGATATAGGCTTGCTGGAAGCTTGAAAAACAGAATGTAGGAGCAAAAATCTCTGCCATGGAATGGTTGCTATTAACATACTGGGAATGTAGATGATGTTTTCATGGAACCTCTGGGGGGAGCAGAATGTGGAATATGCACAGGAGTAGCCTCCACTTACCCTGTTTCCTTGAAAATAAGACCTGACCTGAAAATAAGCCCTAGTAGGATTACTCAGGATGCTCATAATTTAAGCTCTACCTCAAATATAAGCCCCAGTTAAGTGAAACCCCGCCATCCACCATCGTGCCGCATTGTGCAGCAAACTTTTGGAGCAAAAATTAATATAAGACCCTGTCTTATTTTCAGGGAAACACAGTAGAAGACATAGCAATACTGAATTATCTGTGGAAATGATAGTGAGTGCAATCTGGTATTCTCAAGCTTTGGATTTCTACATGGTTTGGACTTCCCCTCCCAGAATTCTTGCCCACTGGGTAAACTGGATGGGGCCTCTAGGAGCTGAACTCTGTAAACCCAAATATTAATAAGCACTGGTATATCCAGTGAGGGGTGACCATATTGTATGGATTAGTTCTTTTAAATATTTATTTATTAAACACTTTCTTTCTAAAGACTTTCCAAACTAAGTCAATAATAATAAATGAGCACAATTTTCTAATGAAAAGTCAGGATTCAAATGTAATTCATAATCACCAGTCACTACGTCCTTCGGATTACATTTATTTGTGGGAAATATATTGGCAGGAAGTACCTGAGAGATGAGAGCCAACGAAGAAGGAAAGAATTTATCTTTAACACTAGGTTGGTTGGGTAGATATTGATATGAAAGAGGAAATTATGAGGCATTTGAGAAAAAGAAACGGTCGCTTTTTATTATCTCTTCTATCACATGACTTATTTATTGAATTATTGTTAAGTCATTTTCCTATTACTTATTTACATTAGAAGTCTATCTCTCAAATGAATCTTGGTAGGGTTTGAAGAGTTCCCAGTCCGAGCATACAGTATTTTACGATTCTTCCATATGAGATGGACTTTAGGCATTGAAGCTGGCTTGATAGTTCAGTGAGCTGGAGTACTGGAGTCTAGAGTTCAATGTCACACTCTGCCTCCCAAGAGAAGTAACAGCCTGTGTAGCCTTGGACAAACTGTAGAAACCTGAGTGCCACCAAAAGAAGGGACTAGAAAACTACATCTATGTATTTGGGTTTTGTTTTATTTATATGCATGTTTCTCCCCATAGGGGACTCAAGACAGCTCAAGCTCAAGATGTAATCACAAAGGCCTATGGTTTTCATTTTAACCACTTCTGGAGGGATCTGGTGGGATCTATTTCCTGGCAATCCAGCCAAACACTGATTCACGCCCATGCTGGACCTTTTGGTTCAGCAGTAGGGCTGCTGCTTTCGGGGACCAGAGGCTGGAGAACTTCCTCAGTGGACAGAATGGTCACCTTAAGAGAGATCACTCTTGGTCAAGTGATCCTTTTTGGTGGGATCAGATGTGCACCCTTCCTATTATTTGATCACCCCCTGCGTTTAAAAAACGACCACACTAGGCATAATTGAAAACACAATAAGATATAAGATTAAAAACAATTTAATATATAACAAAAACCACCATTTAAAAACTTTTAAAAACATTTTAAATATCCTGAAATTCAATAAATACAGCATTCTTGAAATCCCTACTTATCACTTAAAAGCTTGCCTGAAAAGGAAGGTCTTTGCTTGACAATAGAAAGATGAAAGGGAGGGAGACAACCTTATGAGAAGCCAGGTTGTCTTCCTCCCTTTTATCTTTATAAATTGGAATCTATTTGACTGCACATAATTTTTATTATTTAAGGCCCTGAAGTTGGTTTCAAGTATGCCCAAGGAACTTTGCGAGTGTCTCTAATGAAGTCTAACTCTACCTAGAAATATGAATTAGAAATTACAGTGAATTCTCTATGAGCAAATGTATGTGATAAATGGCAATGGAAATTCAGTCAAAATAGGATCACTGAGAAACAAGGAAAAGCATGAATATAGGGGGGGAAAGACGTACAAACAACCCTTCCCCTCTCTTATTCTGGAAAGACTATACATTTGGTTGTGTGAGCTTGGTTTTAAAGGACCATTCCTATATTTGAGAATAACCATTATTTTTGTTGCTTTTCATGTTCTTTGGAAGTGTATATACATCCATTATTTCTCTCAGTAATGTTTTTTTCTGTACTAAAATCATTTTTACTATGTTTTTCTGGAACTCTCTGGCTTTCTCCATAATCCAGCACATGTTAGCAATTTGGTCTCTAGTTCCTCTGCCCCTTCGAAATCCGGCTTGTACTTCTGGGAGTTCTCGGTCCACATATTGCTGAAGCCTACCATGTAGGATTTTGAGCATAACCTTGCTAGCATGTGAGATGAGTGCAATTTTGCGGTAGTTGGAGCATTCTTTGGCACTTCCCTTCTTTGGGATTGGGATGTAAACTGATCTTTTCCTTAGTAAAAGGGGAAAGATTTATACAATCTGAAGAGAAACCAATCCTCTGGCCACTGCTGAGTTTTCCAAACTTGCTGGCATATTCAGTGTAGCACCTTAACAGTGTCATCTTTTAAGACTTTAAATAGTTCCATTGGAATGCCATCACCTCGGAGGAGGAGCTTCGTCTTGGTGAAGCTAGCAGCTCTCGGGAATAGCTCCCGGGGAAAGCTAGAACCAGTTCGGTCTGGGACCCTCCCAGAAACGGGGGGGGCAAGGAAGAGTCAGGAGAGACCCTTCTGCAGCAGCTGGTGAGCCACAGAAGTTAGAAGATTGGGCAGCAACTCGATTTTTCTTTCTTCTGGAAATTCACATCAGCACAGA